GGTGCGAATAGTAATCCGTATAGTGAGATATTCACTAACTGCTCCTCGCGGTCGGATGTGGCACAAGGACGAGTTTATTGTGGGGTATCCGAGCCAGTAGGCTCGTGCAAAAATTCCCTAGAGACCCCGTAAAATCTGGGTCGGGTAGCTGTCCACCAACCCAGACGATAATCTACTCTTCAGCACAGCCCTTCTGAGTACCTCCCTGCCTGGAGGCAGTGAGTCTGACAAGCACACTTCCGAAGTAATCCGGATAGCGATTACTTAGTCTCCACGTTAATTTCCATATATACATTTCCTTTGCCATCAGGTGATCTACTTATTCAAAATTGGATCGACTGTGTTCAAACTCCAGTGTCGGCAGCGAAACTTATTCCTATATAAAACTTTGGATCATGAGCAGATTCTTTCTGTCTCCACATTTTGGCCTTTCCATCACCTTTGTAGGGATTAATCTTTTCTCTTGGGTTTTTTCTTGTATCAGTCTGCTCTCTTGGAATGAAATTCATTTGTTTCGCTTTCTTTACCATATATATATATATATATATATATATATATATATATATATATATATATATATAATATTATTTATAAAAATATGATTCCTTAGCTACATAAGAGTTCTCATGTTTCAAACACGAGAGCCCAAAGCCTGAATATAATTATTAAAATTAAATTGAGTTAAAGTACCAAGCCCTGTTTCATCCTCAAGCGAAAATTTAGGAGATTTCGGCTCTCGTTTTTGAAACATGAGAACTCTTATGTAGCGAAGGAATCATATTTTTTTAAAAATAACTATAATTTAAGTTCTACTTCTGTATGAAGCACTGTTTTGTTAAAAATAAAAACAAAAATACTAAAGAACCCCGGTTTGTTTACCTAACATGTTCTTTCCTATTTTTCTACATATCTGCATTATATATATATATATATATATATATATAAAATGTCATTTTCGTCAATTTTCTCAGGGCAGATGTTTTTGGGCTCAATGTTTTCGCCTGATTACATATTCTTTTCTTCTTTTGTTTTTGGCGGGGTAATAAATGGCTTTTTTGATGTAATGCATCCATTTAGATGTTTTTTTTTTCTTTTCACAGAATTTCGCGGACGGTTTCAATTGATATTTCCATCGTAATGCTGCTTTTAACCACTTTTTACTTGATAAGCTGTTAATTTTGAATGGAGATCCAATGTAACGCTTAACACAATTTATGGAGAACTGAGACCAATCTGTCTTAAGCACAAAGAAAAACGATTACAGTTTGTCGACCACTGCCCTCGAATGGAATGGGGAATTGTTTCGGCCTTATCCCTATAGTATCCTTCAGGAAGTGCCTTCTCACGAAAATTGACTTTCCCAGATACCATAGCTCGTGTCTAGGGGTTGGACATTGGGAATTTGGAGACAGCAATGCAGGACAGAACAGTCGTTTTCTTTGATCTCTTTTGTCTAATTTGCATGGACAACAAGCTTTGATATTCCTGTGTTTGGATAACAAATTTATGTTATTTATATCTTTATAACAAATTTACTATAGGAGAAAAGGAAACTAAAAGATAGTTTCGCCCAATACCGCCAATTGCTACAAAACCAAAAGATTAACCTGAAAACGCGTGTCATGTCAGCTAGAGCCTTTCATATGGATATCCTGCTTGATTTCAAGCACCTTCAGAAATATCTAAACTGTCAGCTGTATATAATCGTTTTCTCAGATCAGTGGTAAAAAACGACTGAGCGAATAAAGTCTTCGCCAAACTTTGTGGAGTGGGTCAACAGAATCAAAAGCAAAGAACTGTAGCAAATGATAGAAATGACATTACTTGAAGACTTTCAACAGCATCAACACCTAAATTAGATATCACACGTAACTGGAAAAGAAAATAATGGCCTTGTTAAAATGCTGATCTTCCACACGACTCCAATTAAACTATCAAGAAGGAAACTCCCATCAATATTATAAAGAGTAATAACAGCTACTGGATTTAAGAGAAATTTATTTTCATGAAACAAAAAAAGAGGACTTTTTCAAGGGAAATATTTTATAACATTCAGACGAAAGTAATACTAGCGGGTCGGTAAGTGAATGTCGAATGTTTTCTTATAAGGAAACGGCTAGTTTTACGATTGCTATCCAGCGATTTTACGCTGACATTATGCTGTGTGATATTTTCTCTTTTCCAAATATACGTTTCACATTTTGAAACGGTAACCAAGTCCACTAAAAATAACAAGGTTATGGTTCCAGATTTTATGCTGTCTATGGTCGGTCATTTTAACATGAATTTTTCACACGCATCTTAACCCTAGAACCCTAACCCTCAATTAAAGTTACACCACTACTAACCATGGGTATATCATACCCGATTTTGAAAATATCAAAAAAAAAAAATATATATATATTAAATATAAATCTTTATTTGAAATATTTTACATGCAGGCACATCAAACTTTGTACGTTGAGTTAACATTAATAGGAACTGAAAAATATATTATTTAGGTAAGAAAATCAGTTACTGAAAATTGTAATTAAAAATAGGAAAATTTGTGCTGGGTACTATGGGTACCCATGGTTAGTGTTCTAGGGTTAATCTGGTGTGAGTTTAATCTTCAGTCTTGACAAATCTTTCATAACAATTGCGCGCCTTATTTTCAGTAGATTTAATATTAATAGGAACTGAAAAACACATTATTTATGTAAGAAAATCAAGTACAGGAAATTGTAATTAAAAGTAGGAAAATTTACGCTGGGTACTATATACCCATGGTTAGTGTTCTAGGGTTAATCTGGTGTGAGTTTAATCTTCAGTCTTGACAAATCTTTCATAAAAATTGCGCGCCTTATTTTCAGTATCATGTTCAGGGCTGCATCTCTCTTTGTGCTGTGGTCATGTAAACAGGGCAACACCTATTAGAGTCCTGAATGACTACAGTCACTAATCTTGTCAGTACAATGTCAAATACTTACAGCGTAGTTAAAAGTAAGCCAACTAATATTTGTTACCTCGTTGCTTCAGTTCAACCTCAGTATAATCAGTTATGGTTGGTTGTTGTGTTGTGCATTAATACCAAACCAATCTAACAGACTATCTGACGTGAATGGCGTCCCACCCATTCAGTAAAGACATATCTATCGGGCATATACAAGAATTTTGTTGTTCATGATGACGGTTGTCTTCGAGTATAGAATCCAGAGGTTAGCAGTGAATACTTCGAAGACAGTAGGAAAGCGTTGTTCAGGTTAGCAGTGGATATTTTGGTAAAAGTAGCAGAGCATAGTTCGTCCTTCTGTTTCTCTTCGCCTGACAAGCTGGACTGGACATTCGCGTAGAGTAGACAAAATGGCCGCCTTTATACACGACGGATTGAATGTTCTACGTCTTCTGATTGGTTAACCTTGTATTGGCGGACTATATCATTTTGACTGGCTCCCTAGTTATATATATATATATATATATATACAAAAAACTGTAAAAGTTTTCTTTCTCATTTTGGTGATTAAAAATGGCTTCAAGCAAATTTAACTCTCTAGATCTTAAAGAAGATTATCCTTCGTCAGTCTCTATAGACTAGCGCTCCAAGACTCACAAACCAAGAAACTTATCAAATAATAAACGTCATATGACTTCCAACAGCGGCAACAACAAAAATGTATGGAACATATAACTTGAAGCGAAAATAAGATGTTAATTTTCCACACGACGTTAAAAACAAAGAAATTTCCATTAATACTAGAAACAGCGATAACAATGAGTAGAGTTTGGAACCACCAATTTGAGTGAGATGTGTCTCGTATAGCAGAAGTTTACAGACATCACAGACATAAGAACTTCAGAATACACGTGAAGTTTTAGATATAAATTAATAGATATGAACACACTGCAATAGATAAATACGTACATAGATAATGGACATAATGATATATATATATATATATATATATATATATATATATATATATATATATATATATATATGTGTGTGTGTGTGTGTGTGTGTGTGTGTGTGTGTGTGTGTGAAAAATATATAGAAAATAGGAAAGAACTCGTTAGGTAAATAATCCAAAGTTCTTTAGTATTTTGTTATTATTTTAAAAAATAGTGCTCGATACAAAAAGTAGAGCATAAATACTATTATTTATTTAAAATATGATTCCAACACGCTACATAAGAATTCTCATGTTTCAAAACAGTTGAAAACTTCAATACAATTATTTGAATTAAAATAATTATATTGAAGTTTTCGGCTCTTGTTTTGAAACATGAGATGTCTTATGTAGCGTGTTGGAATCATATTTTTAAATAAATAATTATATATATATATATATATATATATATATATAGAGAGAGAGAGAGAGAGAGAGAGTGCAATGTGTAAATATTTTTAATTTAGCGCATGCGCGTTATTTGTTTTTGATTTTGTCGACTACACTGTATAATAGCATCAGTTGGCGATCGTCTGTGAGAAGAGAGCATCATGACGCAATTCAAACCGCCAGAAATTTGGAAACGGCATGTTGTATTGCTTGCCATTCGTGCCAGAAATTCCAGTATACACATTTCAGAGTATTTGGGCATCAATCTGAGAACACTCCAGAAGATTCAGAAAGTGTTGGATGAGTCTAATGGTGATTACGAAGAGTGATCATTAGTGATGGCGACTATTATGTGTGGGACGGAGTTGAGCAAGAGGGCAACAAAAAACCTTGCAACAGCAAAGATGAACTGAAGGCAAGGATTATGGCAGCATTCACCAATTTAAACAAGGTGACCGTTCAGAAGAATTGCACGAGATTTCGAAGTCGTCTGAAGGTCGTAGTTGTGAGCCAATGTCGGTTTGATTGAATAAATTTGGTCTTTAGTATTTCAAGATATATTTATGTAATTTGGGTAAATATATGTTAAAATGCACCCTAGATAGATATTAGGTTGGTGCAAAAATAATGCCGTTTTCTCACATATGTTACTATGTGAGAAAACGACATTATTTTTGCACCAACCTAATAGATAGATAGATAGATAGATAGATAGATAGATAGATAGATTATGAACAGTGTGAAGCAGATAAATAGATATACGGATAGATAGAATAGAATGAGATAACTAAATTAGGAACAGAATTAGCTAGATAGATTTATAATTAATAGAATGAGATAGATTATGCACAGAATGAGAGATAAATTATGAAAAGCGGAGGCAGATAGATAGATAGATAGATAGATAGATAGATATGAACAAGAGTTACCTATGTAGAATATTTTTACTACATCTAAAGTCTACAAAAGGATTTAAATAATTCTGGATTCTGCCGCATCTTGAGCATCAGTTACTAGCCGAGAATGTCGCATCGCCGTAGGAAGTTAAGCTGGTCGATAGAATGATGAAGGAAGGAAGTGTCAAAAAAAACCTAGGTCGAGATTTACCTTTAAGCAGATGTTAAGAAAAAAAATCCATGTATTTTTTTCTCCTATAATACCTTAGCTTTGACAGATAAACCTTCATAGATTAACCTTGTTTCCCGTTCACAGTATGCGCCTCTAAATTAGATGGGAAATGCTCGGTTGTCTATTTGGGGTCTGCACAGTCTCGAAGGCAAAAAAAAAGGAACTACTTTAATCCTGTCGGTAATCGGACAGTTCCCCAGAATTAGGAGCTAGCTGTTTCAAAAAACCGTGAAAGCTGGAAATTCTGGTTGAGTTCAGCAGCAAAAGCCTGGAAGGATTTAAAATCTTGGCTCATGTATTTTTTTAAATTTTATTTTTGTCTCAGAGAAAGGATGATGACTGTATAATTACAATCGATATTCAGTCTCTGCGGGGAACGAGTTCTAGAATAAGATGTTGTGAGTTGTGGTGCTCGAGAGATTTTAATGGATAATGGCTCGGAATTATTAATCAGAAAGACGAGTTCCTATTCTCGATGGCTCCGTTATTTTCATTTACGCGCAAATACCACTGGGAAAGATATAAACGCGCCTCTTCTTCCCCAGCTATGGGTTAATTAGTGAGACTTGTATCACTAAATCAGTATTTTTCCTCAAGAAAAATTCTTACAATCTAAATATTTCTTCTGGCTTTAAATAACCTGCATATGGTTGATAAGCCACAGAAAACGAAACAAACAATCAATCTTTTTTTTATATATATAAATCCATTTATGCTCCAAACATATTCATGAAATCTATTTGAATATAAACTACGAGCATTCACCCGTATATTTTACCCATGAACCCTGACACAAGCAGGTCAAACGGATAAAAAAGAGAGAAAATATCAATTTTTAAAAGGTTGATTTTTCCTTATTTTTATTTTAAATCCTTAAAAAAATATTTTAACTCTTAGATTATAGAAACAATGCGATTATAGATTAGAATTATAGATTATCAATGAGATTATAAGACAATGACATTGTATTTTAGAATTATAGATTGAGATTATAGATTATAGATTATCAATGAGATTATAGAAACAATGGGATTATAGATTAGAATTTAGATGAGATTACATTATAGATTGTCAATGAGATTATAGAAACCATCAGATTATAGATTAAAATTATAGATTGGGATTATAGATTATCAATGGGATTATAGAAACAATAAGATTATAGATTAGAATTATAGACTGAGATTATAGCTTATGGATAATCACGGTGATTATAGAAATAGTATGATAATAAATTAGAATTATAAATGAGATTATAGATTGTCAATGAAATTAAAGAAACCATGAGATTATAGATTAGAATTATAGATGAAATTATAGATTATAGATTATCATTGGAAGTATAGTAACAACGAGATTATAGATTAGAATTATAGACTGAGATTAGAGCTAATGGAATTATAGAAAATGAGATTATATTAGAACCTTGAATAAGTTCTCCCTGTTTTTAAACAGATGGCGCTCTCAGAACTGGCTGCGTATAGATTTAGATGGTAACACATCTATAAGAACGTACTATAAGCAAGCTTGAAATTCAGTTTATGTCATTTCGCCGAACTGTAAACAGCTTTGTTTTTTATAGCGTTAAACATGTCGCATTTGCGGGGAATTTTACTACACTACTTTATTCAAAAGAATTCTTCAGCTGAAGTACAGAGAATTCTTGTTGAGACTTACGGCGACCATACTCTGTCGGAAACAACATACAGAGATCAGTTTAGATGCTTCAAAGATAACGATTTTCATGTTGAAGATGAAGAATGCGCTGCCGCATTGAAAAAATCTGAAGACAAAGAATTGGGGGCATTATTCATGAAGACTCATGTCAGGCGCCAGCTGAACTTGTAGAATCATCAGGAGTTGATTACACAACAGTTTCGAAACGTTTGAAAGCAATAGGAATGATTCGAAGGCAAGGACATTGGGTGCCGTACGAGTTGAAGCCGAGAGACTTCGAACAGCATCTTGTGATGTGTGGACAGCTGCTTCAACGGCAAAAAAGGAAAGATTTTTTGCATTGTATCGAAACAGGCGATGAAAAGTGGATACACTACCATAACACTAAGCGTAGAAGATGGAGTAAGGCGGGAATTGAAGAAAAAACGGCCGCTATACGAACAGAGACAGGACACAGTGATTTTGCAACATGACAACGGTCGGTCACATGTTACAAAACGGGTGAAAACCTACTTGGAAACGCTTAAAGGGGAAGTCCTACCCCACTCGCCATATTCACCAGACATTGTCCCGTCCGAATATTACTTGTTCCCATCGATGGCACATGGCCTGGATGAGCAGAACTTTCACTCTTATGAAGTTGCCAAAATAATGGGTCGATCCGTGATTAGTCTCAAAAGATGTGTCGTTTTTCCGACGTGGAATTCAAATGCTGCCAGAAATATGGGAAAAAGTAGTGGCTAGCGATGGAAAGTACTTTCAGTGGCACGTTTCTTACTAATTTTTGCAAATAAAACATTACTTTTCATGAAAAATCAGCGAGAACTTATTCAAGATCCTAACAGATTAGAATTATAGATTGCTGTTATAGATTATAAATTATCAATGGGATTGTTAGAATTATAGATTGAGATTATAAATTATAGATTATCAATGAGATTATGAAAGCAATGAGAAACAAATATTAGGTTCCCAAATTAATATTTTTAATCCTTGATACCAGTTGTCAGGATGTTTCGCTTATTTCAACTTCGAGAATATCCAGGCAAATATAGGACTGTCTTTGGCTTTTATCAAAAGTTATTTGCAGGTATATGTTCTTGGAAAAGACACATCTTATGAATCCTTAGTACTCTAATAAATAACACTGGTCTTTCACGTTTCCTTTCTCATGTATTTTGACATGCTGAATTCGAAAATGATATTCAAATTAGTTTATTGTTTCTGGATTGAGAGAAATTTGGACAGTTGTCATAAACATGAGTATAACTGATATTGCCAAGAAAAACAATATTGCTTTCGAAAACCTGCTTTGATATTCTGTCTTATTTTATGTCGGCTGCCAGAGCAATACGCAAATATTTCAAGATGGCTGTATATACTGAATAAAATACAAACCGGAAACTCTCTTCTAAAGTATATACATGCGCAGTTATTTAGCAACCACACGTCACTTCTTAGTTTGTTTTTTGTAAACTGCAGATTTCAGTTCAAAGTCCGGCAATAATCAGTCAGCATTGATGAACTCCAACTCTTTGATACCTTTTTGCCATTGCTGTTGAAATCGTTCATACCTTTCGTTACCCAGAGCAGTACGGTTTTTTAATGGGAGGGGAATCAAGATGCGAGTCTAAGAAGTGGATTTTCAAGATTTTACAGCCAAAATGTTTATATACCTTCAGGAGGTCTTGCACCAGTTTTTTTTAAGATTTTATCCTCCTTCTTTAGCTAAAAAGGTGAATGCCTCTGACTTGAAAGCTTCCCATGCAGGTTTTTTTCCTCCTCCTTACATCCAAAAGTATGTGGGAACTATCAATGATGCCTTCCTTTATCTTTTCTTCACCTGTTCTGGGAAATTTTTTTCGGCATATACATCCTTGTGAAAACAAAACGAATAACTCTGTTATTATTTACTTTTTTTCTTATTTTCCCAATGAAACATGACCCAGTGCACATGTTAGCACTTCGTATGTCCATTCCACGAAGTCCTTCCTTGCAGATTGACCACAGATTCTCAATTGGATTTAAATCAGGTCAGTTTCCGAACCAGTCAGAGTGTTCGTGAAGCGTTATAATTTTTGTACGCTCCCTTGGAGTAATGGCCGTAAGACAACTAATGGACAGTGGAGACAATAGTGTTTGGGCATGATGAGAATCTGATGCAACCACGGATGACGCAATATTTTTCAAGGTTAAACAAATTTCATCATACACCCCGAAAATACATTCACATTACTGCAAACCACTGCAAAAAAAATTAATCTGAAGAAATTACACCCTCTCACTCCATTGGGTCTAAAACTGACCGTGTGGTGAAAAAAAGGAAACTAAAGCGGTTGTTTCAATTTATTTGCACAAGGGTGCACTTAAATGCTGCCTTTGTTTTGACGATATCTTTCATAGAATTTTTCATAGGACCAAGCTTGTGGTGCGAGCAACATTTGCTTTGATTCAACTAATGGTGGATGCCGAGCATTTTCCCTCCCAGATTCCAGTGATTTTCGTAGTGGCCAGTATCTCTTGATGCAATGAGAACTTCCGTCTCGGCTGGCTCATTCACAAGGAAAGCAACATTACTTGGTAAATACTACTTGCAGTTCTAGCAAGAGGGAAACAACCTTCAAATCTCCGCAAAGTTACCAGTTACATTGATCACCGTTGATACATCTCAGTAGTTGTTTTATATTGTCATAAGTTGCTTTCATGTGAATTGCATAACCAACTGGGATTGAAGATAAAACAAAAAAGATTAAACTATTGTGTAACAAGACAGCTTTGAGACTTGTCTTTGAGGAATCAATAAACAGCCTTCATTCCTCTGGGTTGTAACTGATATTTAAAATGATCGCATAAGGCCACTGATATCTTTGCAGTGCACCAAATCACCTTCCATAACGTAGAATGGGACTCGATCCTTGTGAAAATCACGGAAATTGGAGATTCGCTCATTCACCAGCTAATAGGTACCACTGTTATAACCTTGAACATAAAACTTCTACTTTAGTCTTAGGAAGTTCCAAATTTTTGAATAAGTCTTTTAGGTCACTTTGTATTATGAGGTGTGATTCTGAGATGGATGCTGGACAATAATCTCGACCATATGAAGTTGATGTTTCACGCTTTGAGGTTTCATTGTCTTCCCTATCATTTGATTC